AGGTAGAAGAGATGAGGGGGAAGGGAAGAAAGAACGGGGACGGAAATGAGGAAGGAAGGAAGAGAAGAGGCAAAAGAAAAACAGTCTATGTTAATTCAAAATATTTATATTGATCAATTCCTATAAGATTCCAGGTCAGTATCAATAGACGAAAAGATATGCGAAGCTGATACCTCTCGATCCCTCCGCATAATCCTCTCCACTCACCCCTCTCAGAGAAAAAGACGACAGATCAGACTACCCCCCCTCTTCCCCTCCATCCTCATATCCCCCGACATCTGAAAAGCAACCGCGCTAGACCCCCCCCTCTCAGCTATGACCCCTCTCCCTCTCCACCTCTCCTCTTCCTCCCTCTCCTCTCTCACTCCTCTCTCTTCCTCCCTCTCTCCTCTCTCTTCCTCCCCTTCCCCCTTGCTCCCCTCTCTTCTTCCAGGCATGCACACAAGCATCAGTGAGATCCTGAAGGAGAAGACCCTGAAGCCGTCCCGTCGCAGCCTGCCCTGCCTGGCCCAGAGCCAAACCCACCCACAGAACATCAACACCTTCCTGTCCATGCCCCTCACCCCCGACGACAAGCCCCAGACACACCCACAGGCAGGGATTTTATTTTAATTAGGTCACGATCAGGGGTTGGGGTCAATTATTTTTAAATTCCAGTCAATTCAGAAAGTAAACCAAATTCCAATTTCAATTCCAAAGTTTGATTTTGCAGGTGTTCGCAAGTGTTTGCATCTTTCTCATTTTGAAAAGGGAGGGGACATTTGGCCCATAGACTTGCCCATAACATGCAAAGAGAGGGGTGGAGCTAACGCCCTGCTTCCGCTCCTCGTTCTAGTATTCTTCTAGTATTTTCTGGTATATTTTAACACAGATTTTACTTATGGGTTTCTAAGATTAAGAGACATAAACAAAAATAAATGTTTTAAATCCCGATTCTCAAATAAATGCATGTTTTCTTCCAGCTCTACCCTCAGGACCATCTGCAGTCAGAGCCTCAGCTCCAGGTTCAGGACCAGGCCCAGCTGGTCGACCCCTGGCCACAGCACCAGGCCCAGGACCAGGCCCAGCTGGTCGACCCCTGGCTACAGCACCAGGCCCAGGACCGCTGCCAGCTCCAGGCACAACACACCCAGCCTCTGACCCACAGTCAAAAGCACTTCAGCTAACCCTCATTCCTCCAGCAGGTCAGTCGGTTCTTGGTCGATCGTTCGTCGGTATTTTGTAATACGATTGTTTGTCCATGGTCCGTGTCTCTGTCCTCCCACAGCCTGACGGAGATCTATACATGTACAAACACCCAAAGTAAAAGCAGCAGACGCTTTTATCCACAGCGGCTTGCAGTGCAGTCAGTGCTCGTCAGGTGTCATGTGATCCTGCAGGAGTAACCCTCCAAGACAGGTCGTGGTGTTGATGCCAGGGGTAGACCCATTGTCATTAACGAGTCGTGTGGTTTGATCAGGGGAGCCTATGCAACGAGGTCGTGTGGTTGATGCAGGGGGAGAACCATTATGTCTAACGAGTCGGTGGTTTGATGCAGGGGAGACCCATTATCATTTAAGAGGTCATGGTGTTGATGCGGGGTAGACATTATGGTCTAGATCTGGTGGGTTGAGCAGGGGGACATTATGGTCTACGAGGTCGTTGTGTTGATGCAGGGGAGACCCATTATGTCTACGAGGTCTGGTGGTTGAGGTAGGGACGGAGATCTATTACATTAACGAGTCGGTGGTAATGCAGGGCAGACCATTATCCATAATGAGGTTGTGTGTTTAGCAGGGGGACAGTTATCTTAAGGTGTTGTGGATTATGCAGGGGGAACCAAGGTAACATCTAACGAGGTCGTGGTGGGTTGAGAGGGGGAGACCATTATCATTTAACGAGGTCGTGGTGGTTTGATGCAGGGGAGACCATTATGTCTAACGAGGTCGTGGTGGTTTGATGGAGGGGGAGACCATTAGGTCATTAACGGGTCGTGGTGGTTTGATGCAGGGGAGACCATTATCATTTAACGAGGTCGTGGTGGTTTGATGCAGGGGAGACCATTATGGTCTAACGAGGTCGTGGTGGGTTGATGCAGGGGAGACCATTATGGTCTAACGAGGTCGTGGTGGGTTAATGCAGGGGGAGACCATTATGGTCTAACGAGGTCGTGGTGGGTTTGATGCAGGGGAGAACCATTATGGTCTAACGAGGTGTGGTGGGTTGAGGTAGGGGGAGGACCATTATCATTTAACGAGGTCTGTGGTTTGATGCAGGGGAGACCAGTATGGTCTAACGAGGTCGTGTGGTTGATGGAGGGGGAGACCTTATATTAACGAGGGTCGTGGGGGTTTAATGAAGGGGAGAACATTATCATAACGCGCGTGTGGGGGGTAATGCAGGGGTGAGACCATTATCATTTAACGAGGTCGTGGTGGTTTGATGCAGGGAGACCATTATCATTACGAGGTCGTGGTGGTTTGCTGCAGGGGAGTCCATTATCATCTACGAGGTCGTGGGGGTTGATGCAGGGGGAGACACATTATGGTCTAACGAGGTCGTGTGTGTTTAATGCAGGGGGCGAGAACCATTATCATCTAATGATCGGTCGTGGTGGTTTTGATGCAGGGGAGACCATTATCATTTAACGAGGTCGTGGTGGGTTGATGCAGGGGAGACCATTATCATCTAACGAGGTCGTGGTGGGTTGATGCAGGGGGAGACCATTATCATTTAACGAGGTCGTGGTGGTTTGATGCAGGGGAGACCATTATCATTTAACGAGGTCGTGGTGGTTTGATGCAGGGGGAGACCATTATGGTCTAACGAGGTCGTGGTGGTTTAATGCAGGGGGAGACCATTATCATTTAACGAGGTCGTGGTGGTTTGATGCAGGGGAGACCATTATCATTTAACGAGGTCGTGGTGGTTTGATGCAGGGGAGACCATTATCATTTAACGAGGTCGTGGTGGTTTAATGCAGGGGGAGACCATTATCATTTAACAAGGTCGTGGTGGTTTAATGCAGGGGGAGACCATTATCGTCTAACGAGGTCGTGGTGGGTTGAGGTAGGGGGAGACCATTATCATCTAACGAGGTCGTGGTGGGTTGAGGTAGGGGGAGACCATTAACACTGTCAGCCACAGCATCATGACATAGATTGAGGTTCCTCTCTCTGCACTATAATTTCTACTGTTTATCATATCATAAGTACTTAATCCACTGAATAGAATGGTATTTAATGCACCATCATGGGAGATTTGTTTATGACAATTCTGAATGCAATCGCAGGAAAATCACTTTTGAAGGCAGTTTTGGATGGGGATCCCAGCTTAACATTGCTACCACGTTATTTTTCTACTCCTAAAACTGTGCGTGTGGCATCATATTTTAATTTTTTAATGCATGGTTTAGGCACAACAGAGCTCTTAAAAGGGCAATGGCGTTTTAAAAGGGCAATGACATACACTACATGGACAAAAGTATATTTCAGCCACACCCGTTGCTGACAGGGGTATAAAATCTAGCACACAGCCATGCAATCTCCATAAACAAACATTGTCTGTAGAATGGCCCGTACTGAAGAGCTCAGTGACTTTCAACGTGGCACCGTCATACAATGCCACCTTTCCAACAAGTCAGTTTGTCAAATTTCTGCCCTGCTAGAGCTTCCCCCTGGTCAACTGTAAGTGCTGTTATTGTGAAGTGGAAAGGTCTAGGAGCAACAACGGCTCAGCAGCGAAGTGGTAGGCCACACAAGCTCACAGAACGGGACCGCCGAGTGCTGAAGTGCGTAGCGCTTAAAAATCGTCTGTCCTCGGTTGCAACATTCACTACCGAGTTCCAAACTGCCTCTGGAAGCAACGTCAGCACAAAAATTGTTTGTCGGGAGCTTCATGAAATGGGTTTCCATGGCCGACCAGCCGCACACAAGCCTTAAGATCACCATGCGCAATGCCAAGCGTCGGCTGGAGTGGTGTAAAGCTGGAGTGGTGTAAAGCCGCCATTGGACTCTAGAGCAGTGGAAAACACGTTCTCTGGAGTGATGAATCACGCCAAGATGGCTGCACAGTGGCTTCAATACAGCGCCCCCCTGTCAGTCATCCAGGGTATATACACGTAATATTAATTTGAAATGATTGCGAGACAGCTTCAGGAGGTTGGGAGACGTAAAGCGGTGGCTTTACCACTGAGGGGAAAACCAAGGCAGCGGTGGGGTGAGCAACACACCACATAAAAGACTCTGTGGAGTGGTTAAATGTCACTGCTGAAAGGGATAAGAAAAATCATCCGCCCCTTTTTTAATAATGAAATCCTGTAGCAGTAGGAGAATTCACTCAAAGACCATTCAACATTCGAATGAGCAGTTAGCGCGACTCAGAAGTCTCTGGATTGCATCCCAAAATGACACAGTATTTCCCCACATAGTGCACTATTTTGCACCTATGGCTCTGGTCAAAAGTAGTGCACTACATAGGGAATAGGGTGCTATGGGCTCTGGTCAAAAGTAGTGCACTACTTTGCACCTATGGCTCTGGTCAAAAGTAGTGCACTATTGCCATTTGTGACACAGCCTCTGTCTATTCTGAGCATGTCTCCCAGCAGTGCAAATACACCCTGGTGCCAGAACTGGGAGAAGGCTAGTTAAAAATATAATAATGTTGCACGCGATTCATGGAACTAACGTTGCGTCTCTCTCTCGAGTCATGTTTGGGTCATCAGTAAAGACCGAGGGGATAAAAGAGCTGAGCTCTGTCTGTCTGAAAATCCCTCTTTGGATTAAAGAAAACCAATAAACCTTCCAGGCTTTCAGACTCTGCGAGGCAGAAGGACTGACGTGATTTAGCTTTGAACTCCCACTCACCCTTTCTTCCTGGTGCTTCCATAGGGGCTAGGCTTCTTCCCAAATAGCACCCTATTCCTTATATAGAGTCCTATGGACCCTGGTCAAAAGTAGTGCACTACGGAGGGAATAGGGTGCCATTTCAGACGCTGTCCTAGAGTAGAAACGGTTCACAGAATGAATGCTGACCTTTCTCCAACCTCCATACAAGACATTGATGCCAAACAACAAATACAGGTAACTACATTGCCAGTTGGTAAGAATGTAGCACTAGCAAGGTTGTGGCTGCAATTGTTGTGTTTTTGGGGATAAAAGGGTCTGTTTCCAGTTGAGGCTCGCATCTACTACAAGACCATGGTGCTTGCCTACGGAGCTGTGAGGGGGAACGTCTCCTCCTTACCTTCAGGCTCTGATCAGACCCTACACCCAAACGAGGGCACTACGTTCATCCACCTCTGGCCTGCTAGCCCCCCCTACCTCTATGGAAGCACAGTTCCCGCTCAGCCCAGTCAAAGCTATTTGCTGCTCTGGCACCCCAATGGTGGAACAAGCTCCCCCCACGACGCCAGGACAGCGGAGTCACTCACCACCTTCCGGAGACACTTGAAACCCTACCTCTTTGAGGAATACCTGGAATATTATAAAGTAATCCTTCTTCCCCCACCCCCCCCATTTAAAAAAAAAAAGGTGGTTGTCCCACTGGCTATCATAAGTTGAATGCACCAATTTGTAAGTCTCTCTGGATAAGAGCGTCTGCTAAATGACGTAAATGTAAATGTCTGCTAACTGGCTCTACTTCCTGTCGTGCCCCACTTCACCATGTCTGTCTGTCTATATAGAAGGAACAAGCATTGTTCAAGTAATACCTTAGCATTACATTGATTCAAACCAGAAGAACACAAATAACTACAGTGGCTTGCGAAAGTATTCACCCACCTTGGCATTTTCAAAAAAAAAATTTGCCTTACAACCTGGAATTAAAGTGGATTTTGGGGGAGTTTGTATCATTAGATTTACACAACATGCCAACCACTTTGAAGATGCAAATATATGTTTTATTGTGAAACAAACAAGAAATAAGACAAAAACGGAAAACTTTAGCGTGCATAACTATTCCCCCCCCCCCCCAAAGTCAATACTTTGTAGAGTGACCTTTTGCAGCAATTACAGCTGCAAGTCTCTTGGGGTATGCCTCTATAAGCTTGGAACATCTAGCCACTGGGACTTTTGCCCATTCTTCAAGGCAAAACTGCTCCAGCTCCATTAAATTGGATGGGTTCCGCTGGTGTACAGCAATCTTTAAGTCATACCACAGATTTTCAATTGGATTGAGGTCTGGGCTTTGACTAGGCCATTCCAAGACATTTAAATGTTTCCCCTTAAACCACTCAAGTGTTGCTTTAGCAGTATGCTTAGAGTCATTGTCCTGCAGGAAGGTGAACCTCTGTCCCAGTCTCGAATCTCTGGAAGACTGAAACAGGTTTCCCTCAAGAATTTCCCTGTATTTAGTGCCATCCATCATTCCTTCAATTCTGACTAGTTTCCCATGAAAAACATGGTGTTCTCGGGGTGATGAGAGGTGTTGGGTTTGCGCCAGACATAGCGTTTTCCTTGATGGCCAAAAAGCTCAATTTTAGTCTCATCTGACCAGAGTACCTTCTTCCATATGTTTGGGGAGTCGCCCACATGGCTTTTGGCGAACACCAAACATGTTTGCTTATTTTATTCTTTAAGCAATGGCTTTTTTTCTGGCCACTCTTCCGTAAAGCCCAGCTCTGTGGAGTGTACGGCTTAAAGTGGTCCTATGGACAGATACTCCAATCTCCGCTGTGGAGCTTTGCAGCTCCTTCAGGGTTATCTTTGGTCTCTTTGTTGCCTCTCTGATTAATGCCCTCCTCGCCTGGTCTGTGAGTTTTGGTGAGCGGCCCTCTCTTGGCAGTTTTGTTGTGGTACCATATTCTTTCCATTTTTAATAATTGATTTAATGGTGCTCCGTGGGATGTTCAAAGTTTCTGATATTTTTTTATAACCCAACCCTGATCTGTACTTCTCCACAACTTTGTCTCTGACCTGTGTGGAGAGCTCCTTAGTCTTCATGGTGCGCTTACTTGGTGGTGCCCCTTGCTTAGTGGTGTTGCAGACTCTGGGGCCTTTCAGAACAGGTGTATATATACTGAGATCATGTGACAGATCATGTGACACTTAGGTTGCACACAGGTGGACTTTATTTAACTAATTATGTGACTTCTGAAGGTAATTGGTTGCACCAGATCTTATTTAGGGGCTTCGTAGCGAAGGGGGTGAATACATATGCACGTACCACTTTTCCGTTATTTATTATTTAGATTTCAGTTCACCAATTTGAACTATTTTGTGTATGTCCATTACATTAAATCCAAATAAAAATCCATTTAAATTACAGGTTGTAATGCAACAAAATAGGAAAAACACCAAGGGGGATTAATAATTTTGCAAGGCACTGTACATGTCCTGACCCACTGCTCATCCGTTCTGTGTCTGTCTAGGTCTGTCAGAAGGTGTCAAGGACCACTATGTGGAGGAGGCAGAAGCTAGTGCGTACGAGGCAGGAAGGACAGACGAGTCGTTTCTCATTCAGAAACCTGCCACCCGAGCCAAATTAGAGGCACGCGCAGATTCGCTTCAGGTACCTCATGCACGTGCACACACAGAGACACACACACCCCCACACACACACTGACACACACACAAACCCACACACACACACACACACACATACACACACAGAGACACACACACACACACACACAACACACACACACACACAGAGACACACAATAACCAGAATGACATTGCACCAATCTTTTCCAATGTCTCACAGTTACGCAGCTTTATGAATGTGTTATGAATGCCTTTTGTAGGAACCCTTATCAGTATTACTGATAAACACATATTTCCGTAGGGGACCAACCCCGGGCAGCCCTCTGGCCTGCTGTTCAGAGATGGGAAGAAGCGTATCGATTACATCCTGGTCTATAAGAAGTCCAGTCCTCTGGTGGAGAAGAGAGTCACCTTCGAGAGGAACCTGAGAGCTGAGGGGCTGATGCTGGAGAAAGAGGTAGGGTAGGCCTACATACTCTAATATACTAAAGTATACAGTAAATACCAGTGTTGTAGTACGTCTCGAGTCCGGTCTCCGAACCACATATTGAGTGTCTCTGTGTCGGATACATTTGTACTCGGTCTTGACTCGGTCTCGGACAGTGAGGACTGTCGTAATTCCTTCCCGAGACCAGAGGAGTAAAAAAAAAACCTCATAATTATCAGCTCCCATTCAGTCAGCGTATAAATTTGCTTCGCCAGGCCAAATATATACACTCCTTTCTTGAAACATGAATACAGTATCTTAACAGCCTTTATATCTATTATAGATATATGTTTGCCCAGTGGCGAACCTATAGGCCTTCAGTGTGTGACAGGTTCGTGATTCTGAAAGGACAGCAACCGTAACCGTAATACCAGCGCACTCATGTAGGAGAGTGCACTTTTTGTAAAACACAAAGGGCCAGTGGTGTAGCGGAGGGTATACTCAGGTATAAACCGTATACCCACTTCTTAATCCCTACTAATGTGTATCTAAGTAGAGTAGTGGAGGTTTACGATTTATCAATTATACAATCGAGAAATCATGCACAAAGTAGCTTACACAATCGCAAAGCACGTGAAATATATTCACACACATAGCCTAGTTTCAGCGGAATATCATCTGCAGGCAGCAAGAGTGTGCAGTTCTCAACTGGTTTTGGCGCAGCTCACAGAAGAATGACATCGGTAGCCGGTAGGGTAGGAAAGACGTTTCAACTTATGATATCTACCAGGAAATGCTAACTAAGGCAATAATGGGTATGCAAACCAGGTATTGAAAAAGTTTAGTCCAAAGTGTTGGTTAGTAGGCTATTTGTGATGCGCAATTGTCATCATGAGCTGTTTTCAACAGGGGCGTAGACATGGATGGGCCTGGGTGGACAGAGGCCCACCCACTGGGGAGCCAGGCCCTGACAGGCCCACCCACTGGGGAGCCGGGCCCTGACAGGCCCACCCACTGGGGAGCCGGGCCCTGACAGGCCCACCCACTGGGGAGCCGGGCCCTGACAGGCCCACCCACTGGGGAGCCAGGCCCTGACAGGCCCACCCACTGGGGAGCCGGGCCCTGACACCCAATCAGATTGATGTAGTTTAAGCATTGTTGTGGACCATCACATTTTTGTATATTTTTCTATTTTAAATAAAGTGTGATTTCGAGAGTGAAAATCTGATACATCTATAGGAAAACTAATTTTTAAAAACATAGGATTTTTCACACAGGGTGCCTTTCCGTCACTGGGTGGGCTGTTTGGGAACTTTTAGGCAACATTTGAGTTAACCCACTTCTCCAGGCACCACTACACCACTGGATAGGGCCGATGGAAAGACAGCAGTCACACAGCATGATGTTAAAGGATAAGCAGTCACACAGCATGATGTTAAAGGATAAGCAGTCACACAGCATGATGTTAAAGGATAAGCAGTCACACAGCATGATGTTAAAGGATAAGCAGTCACACAGCATGATGTTAAAGGATAAGCAGTCACACAGCATGATGTTAAAGGATAAACAGTCACACAGCATGATGTTAAAGGATAAGCAGTCACACAGCATGATGTTAAAGGATAAGCAGTCCATCAACTCGTACATAATAAGCCAGTAGGTCCCAATCAGAAGAATACAAAAACACGACCATTAAGCATTTACCAATCGAAATGTACAACTATTACTTCCCATTGCAAAAAACATTTCACGTATAGCACAAAGTAACCTGAGACCTAAAGTTTAAAGTGGAACTGACAGCGTTTTAACTACTTTGCAGATATGAAACAAACAGACAATCATAATATCAGTCAAAAATAACAAATCTCCAGTTTATGCTACAAAACCAACTTTATAAGATGTTTTAAAAATAGGTTCTATTTGACTCAACATTCCATGACGTACACTAAGGCATTGTTGGCAGAATAGATGGATGCAGTTCAATGCATGATTCATATAATTCACCAATACATTTCTTGGTAGTCCCAAACAGATTGCTATCAGGTTGTAAATCACAGCTGGCCTGGTACATTGTTTGCTGCCTCCATTCGGGAAACACTGTTTCAGTTTCCATGACTCAATATTCTGGACAAAAACGGACAAATGTAACTAAGGCTGGGAATGTCAATACATTCAAACTAGCAAGGGCAATGATCACAAGTCAGTCATAACGTGGCTAATAGGTTAGCGTATCTATTTATGTAGCAAGCTAAAAACACAGAGCCTAACGTTAGCTAGATAGCTAGCTGCTAGGAGGATGTCATGCCATTGGAGGAGTGGGTGAGTGACTGACTTTTTCCCCTCATATCGTTTTTCGGTGGCTATACACAGCTAGAGATGCAGGTGTCATTTGGTTAGCTAGCAAGAACTTGAACGACTGTTATCCAGTTAGCATATCTCTTGCGTTCGCAAATTCACTCTGGCTATCTACTCCGATTTCAGAGCACTCTCATCTGAGTGTGCCAGAGCGCAGAATAACTGATGTATTTACGAACACGCAACATGACCGGTATCACTAAAGTAGATAAAAAAAGTACTATTTAGTCACCAACGCTCTAGATAACATGTAAACAGCCTAACCAGCTCTGCTACGCCGAGTAAAATGGTCAGAGTGAGGTGTTCTCTCATTTGTGTCTGGAAGTAGCCAGCAAGCTAGCCAACTTTAGCTAGCTTGGGTGCTTGGTTGGGACAAACATGCATTGGCAGGCAAGCTGCTGAAGGACGAGGAGGCTACATTTACCCATCGTTTATCAGTGCAATTTTGACGGCCAACTAGCTGAAAAAGTTTGAGAGGGTTTATCTAATGTTCCTTCATTAGATTTTAGCTCATCTTGCTCTGGCTAGCGTTAGTTGTTGTTGTTGTTGTTGTTGTTGTTGATGTGCATAAATGAGGGAGACAGAGCCTACCTTTTCATGGTTGTTTGAACAATAGGAATGTGAAGTTCCCAAATGTGACCGACCGCCTTGAATCGGTCTTATGTAGCAACATTTGAAATTGTGTTTTTTTTACATTGGATAAAAGTTGAGACTCAGAGCTACAAAATGGTATATCATACACTGCATTTGAGGAACAATTGGAAAGTAATTCTGCTTTGAAAGTTGATAAACTTGTAACCCCACTTTTTGAGAAAATGGCCGATGAATGTTTTTGCTACTGGATAGCTTTTCTTTGTCTACACCCATTCAGCATTATTCACACCCTCTTAAGCCTTAGCCCCACCCATCTCTTTAAGGATTCACGTGTGAGGTCATGTGCTAAAGGTCATGTAGTGTGGTAAAGATTAAGTCTAAAAGTGGTAAAAGTAGTAGCCGACAATAAGGAAACATTTCAGGTAAACAGAAAGTGTCCAAGATAAAAATATTTTTATAAATATTAGATGACGCTTACCCAGACACACTTGTCTAAATTGATGGGTCATGTGAAAGAAATGCTATAACCCCCAGCCACATCTTGCTAAGTGGATGGGTCTCTACAGAAGGTGTAAACAGTACAGCGAAATGGTTACTTGCATAGTAGCAATATCAAAAATAGATAGTGTCAATATAAAGAAAAAAATAACAAGTGTCAATGCCAGTAGAGAAAAAACCAAATAATATACAGTATGTACAAGAACAATATCAGTGATACTGGTGATAGATGAGGTAGTTATATGCATACAATCAGGGGTAAAATGGCTGAGCAGCAGGATAAAAAATAAAATTGTAGCAGCAACGTATGGCGTGTGTGTGTTAGGAGAGACTCATGTGAATGTCCATAGAGGCACTGCAGATAGTATGAAAATGTATGCACTCACTAACTGTAAGTCGCTCTGGATAAGAGCGTCTGCTAAATGACTAAAATGTAAAATAGTGCTGATGACTGGGAACTCGCCCCCAGTGGTGAACTGGTCCGTCCGAACCACGCGTGAACAAGGGAATCTATATTCGGAGAGCCTGTTTCTGTCCTGCCCTTGACTTTGGTGCAGGGCATGTGATGTCCATAGCCTCTTCGTTGCAAAACTCCCTGATCTTCTCAAAAAGATAAGTTTGTCTAGCTGTGTCCAGTCCAGGTGGTGCTTGTATAGGCAGACCATCTATGGGAGGAAGGATGTCAGCGTTGCGCAGCAGCTGAAACCTGGTCCCGACTGAGTCAGAACGCTCAGACCATCTATGGGAGGAAGGATGTCAGCGTTGCGCAGCAGCTGAAACCTGGTCCCGACTGAGTCAGAACGCTCAGACCATCTATGGGAGGAAGGATGTCAGCGTTGCGCAGCAGCTGAAACCTGGTCCCGACTGAGTCAGAACGCTCAGACCATCTATGGGAGGAAGGATGTCAGCGTTGCGCAGCAGCTGAAACCTGGTCCCGACTGAGTCAGAACGCTCAGACCATCTATGGGAGGAAGGATGTCAGCGTTGTAGAGCAGCTGAAACCTGGTCCCGACTGAGTCAGAACGCTCAGACCATCTATGGGAGGAAGGATGTCAGCGTTGCGCAGCAGCTGAAACCTGGTCCCGACTGAGTCAGAACGCTCAGACCATCTATGGGAGGAAGGATGTCAGCGTTGTAGAGCAGCTGAAACCTGGTCCCGACTGAGTCAGAACGCTCAGACCATCTATGGGAGGAAGGATGTCAGCGTTGCGCAGCAGCTGAAACCTGTCCCGACTGAGTCAGAACGCTCAGACCATCTATGGGAGGAAGGATGTCAGCGTTGCGCAGCAGCTGAAACCTGGTCCCGACTGAGTCAGAACGCTCAGACCATCTATGGGAGGAAGGATGTCAGCGTTGTAGAGCAGCTGAAACCTGGTCCCGACTGAGTCAGAACGCTCAGACCATCTATGGGAGGAAGGATGTCAGCGTTGTAGAGCAGCTGAAACCTGGTCCCGACTGAGTCAGAACGCTCAGACCATCTATGGGAGGAAGGATGTCAGCGTTGCGCAGCAGCTGAAACCTGGTCCCGACTGAGTCAGAACGCTCAGACCATCTATGGGAGGAAGGATGTCAGCGTTGTAGAGCAGCTGAAACCTGGTCCCGACTGAGTCAGAACGCTCAGACCATCTATGGGAGGAAGGATGTCAGCGTTGTAGAGCACCTGAAACCTGGTCCCGACTGAGTAAGAACGCTCAGACCATCTATGGGAGGAAGGATGTCAGCGTTGTAGAGCAGCTGAAACCTGGTCCCGACTGAGTCAGAACGCTCAGACCATCTATGGGAGGAAGGATGTCAGCGTTGTAGAGCAGCTGAAACCTGGTCCCGACTGAGTCAGAACGCTCAGACCATCTATGGGAGGAAGGATGTCAGCGTTGCGCAGCAGCTGAAACCTGGTCCCGACTGAGTCCAAACGCTCCTTGGCGACAACAACACCAGGCTCCAGAGCATCAAAGCTGTAAAACAGGAAATAACCAAATAAATTTGAGAAGACATTACAACCTCGCATAACATCAATTCACCTCCCAAGTTTAGATAAGAAGAATAACCTCATACAATGCAATGAAAATTATATTCACCTGAAGTGCTGGTACTGCTTGATCTGTGGCAGCGGCCTGAAGTACGGAGTCATGTGTTGTTGCCAGCCATCGCTTTCCACCAGCACCGTACCATCCTCCAGTCCAACCAGCTGTGGGATGTTGACCCCTGTCACGGTGCTGTCCTTCACAACACCAGCAATCTCGGACAAAGTGTTCACTCTGGTCTTTCTGAAGCACCGCTTGATGAGGCCGAAGCACCAGTCGGGGTAAAACTTGGTGTGGCCTGTGATCAGGAAGTGAAGGTCCAGACTGTGGTGTGGCCTGTGATCAGGAAGTGAAGGTCCAGACTGTGGTGGAGCTGGTCTGACAGGGCACAATACCAGAGCACAACTTGTTCTTGTTTTGGCTGCTGCAGTTGATCACAATTCAGGTCCACACGTGTTTCCCCGACTCTGTAGTTGGTGAAGAAATGGTGCATGTAGTTGATGACTGCGCTGCTGCCTTTGCTGGATGACATGCATTCATCAATCAAGTAGTTGACTTGTTGACTGGTGGGGGAGAGTCAGGCGTGGTCTACTGATGCTGAAAGACAAATTCCAGACACAAATATTTTAGCATTATTATACAATAGATTGCCGTAATCACCGTCAGACACACCTGGCTAATTTGATGGGTCATGTAATCATCTGGCAAAGTCAAGTCTTTTGTTTAGACATGTAGCTAGCTAGCTAAACAAACATAACCATAATACCAATCCAGAGAGTACTAGCAATACAAACAGATTGTCATAGCTAGCTAAAGTTAACCAAATAGGTGCAATGTTAGCTAGTTAGCTAGCTAACATTAGGCTATAACTAGCAATGCAAATTGATTTTAAAAAAACGCTTCACGGCAGACTGCAGCCCCTTTCATTAAATAAGACGTCCTGTGTCGTTTCCGTTTTTGGTTTGTACAGCTTGCTTGGCCCGTTCTGTCGAGTCACTCTGGTTCACACTGACCGTGTGCAATGCCATAAGAATCATCAGATCTTTCTCCCCTCTCTGTCACGGATGCCATGGTTGCCCTTAGTTTGAAGATGTAATCCGGAGACAGGTGTTTTATACAACAGCTTTCTGTGTTCTCTTTTCGACTCCCTCCGCATTTGCAATCAAACGCCAGAATTGTATTAATTAATCTCCTTATCATACTCCGCTTCTACCAGACTTTCCACTGATTTCAAAACTCGGTCAACTTCTTCAGTGACAACAACACTGTTGATCGCCGTTTCTTCCCCATCACTGTCATCAGAAGACTATACAATGTCTTCTTCAATTAAAATGTTTTTACCCAAATCAGGGATTTCCTCATCGTCTGATTCATTATCAGAGTCAGAAAGAGTCAGCATGGTACCGGCGTCCTCCTGAAAGTAGTCCATCACAACCTTTTCCCACCGGCCAATGCGAAATTCATCTCTCGGCATGTCCAGCCCATTCATTATCTCAGCCAATCATGGCTAGCGGGAAGGTTCCCAGTCTTTTCCTGTGGCTAAAACCAACTAGGCTCGTAATTTAACAATATTATTCATATTTACAGATGGCATACAAGTTTGTTATTAAGGCACATTCATGTTCAAATGTTCCAGAAGGCATTTCTGCCAAAAAACACATTTTGATACAAGAATAAAAAAAAAACAGTTCCAATGCTTCTCCTGTGAAGTCGTGACTTGCGACATATGCCTAGTTTCCTGAAACGAGTCACAAATGTAAGAGGACACCCCGTGGTGTTTTACATATTTGCAGAAATCCATTCAGGTGTATTTTGTGGCTTTTGACAAATGCCTTCTAATGATCTAACGTAGCGCTGTTGCAACTGCCTGTAAACACACAGTCCAGGTCAAAGTGAATGATGGCAGGCTCATGTGGCAAATGGTTTGTTTGTATAGAGGTCTACTGTAGCTCTGATTGGCTATAGCGCACCGGTCTGTGTAGACTCCGGTCCTAGAGTTCGGTTTTATTTACTGCAGTGTCTATTAATTGTCCAAACGCACGGCTGCTTTCCCACTCTATATTGATATAGAGTTTTCACAAATGCCTTAATATACATAATTCCCAAACATTATAAGAATTTATGAAAACGGGAAAAATGACCATATCTAAGTGGTCGCTTGTCAGAAAATGTTTTTAAAAAGTGTCATATTCTTCCTGGGGGTGTATATGAACAGATTTTAATAAGATTTCATGTTGCTAAAATGCTGTCAGTTCCACTTTAAATACAACAATGTTTCTCACACAAAAAATTATTTTCAAAGAGATGGCTAACAACAGCAAGCGCACTGCAATAAAAACCACAGTTCCACTCACCACATGATGATCATTTGAAAGTTATTCTTGAAAAGGGAGAAGCTAACAAATTAGCAACAACATCCTCTTTGATAACACCTGCTGCAGCCGCTGCAAACTAGCCGACAACAAAAGCTAGCTAGCTAGACCGCGGGAAAACTACTGCTCGCTATTGTGCAGTGACCTGTTGGCCTTCAAGAAGGCAGAAGTTTCCATACGTTTTTGTAAAAAACGGTCCCACCCATTAAGTCAAAATGTGGTTGATTCCACTGTCACTCCAACATTTTGCCCTTACATTTTTAGTCATTTAGCAGACGCTCTTATCCAGAGCGACTTACAGGAGCAATTAGGGTTAAGTGCCTTGCTCAAGGGCACATCGACAGATTTTTCACCTAGTTGGCTCGGGGATTAGAACCAGCGACCTTTCGGTTATTGGCACAACACTCTTACCCACTAAGCTACCTGCCCTAATACAGCTTAATGGCATATGCCTTTATCTAGCTTCTGATGGCTGAGCCAATGGCTGACTTAGCTAGCTAGATTTATCTCCCCAGAGACAGCAAAGGAAAATCCTGATTGGATCTTTTTTTCTCTTCCGCGTTAACCCTTTCCTTTCAAACAAAAACGGAATACTACTGTATACTACAACTACATTAATATAGTACATTACTACTGTATAATACAACTACATTAATATAGTACATACTCTACTACTGTATACTACAACTACATTAATATAGTACATACTTTACTACTGTATACTACAACTACATTAATATAGTAAATACTCTACTACTATAAATTTAGCTATTTGGTAAATGATAAAAAGAGATTTGACACTCGTGACTATATTCTCAAATATTGTCATCAGATTGTCAGATACTAGTTTTTGTCAAAAGCTAATTTCTAGTTTTGTGCCCTCTAAAGCCGTCTCTGACCAACACCGACATAATGTTTGTGAAGATCCATGCTCCGTGGGACACGCTTTGTAAATACGCTGAGCAGATGAACATCAGGATGCCATTCAGGTAACACTTCATATGAATACCCTCTTCATAATGCATTATAAACGCATCTATAACACCTTATGAGCTATACATAATGCATTATAATGCACGACACAAGTGTTAATAACTGGCTTAATCCGTTGGATTCTTAGACCCCCATCCCACAATGATCTAATTTATTGTTATATATCTTTCAGAAAAAAAAGTTACTTTACAGATTGGAAGAGCAAAGCTATGGGCGGGTAAGTGGACTTTCAGTGTGATTGTAAAGTTCAGGCACAGTGTGCTGCTGAGCTGAATTGCTGAGCACTGCAGAGCACTACTAATGAAATACACTATCAGGAGCATTCAGCATAGCTGGAGTGACTCTGTTGTCTCAAGATGAGAGATCTAGCTGTTATTTCAATCGGCCATCAGGGAGTTAGATGATCTAGCTGTAAAGATGCAGCCATCATCGGCCATCAGGGAGTTAGATGACTTAGCTGTAAGATGCAGCCATCATCGGCCATCAGGGAGTTAGATGATCTAGCTGTAAAATGCAGCCATCATCGGCCATCAGGGAGTTAGATGATCTAGCTGGAAGATGCAGCCATCATCGGCCATCAGGGAGTTAGATGATTAGCTGTAAGATGCAGCCATCATCGGCCATCAGGGAGTTAGATGATCTAGCTGTAAGATGCAGCCATCATCGCCATCAGGGAGTTAGATGACTAGCTGTAAGATGCAGCCATCATCGGCCATCAGGGAGTTAGATGATCTAGCTGTAAGATGCAGCCATCATCGGCCATCAGGGAGTTAGATGATCTAGCTGTAAGATGCAGCCATCATCGGCCATCAGGGAGTTAGATGATCTAGCTGTAAGATGCAGCCATCATCGGCCATCAGGGAGTTAGATGATCTAGCTGTAAGATGCAGCCATCATCGGCCATCAGGGAGTTAGATGATCTAGCTGTAAGATGCAGCCATCATCGGCCATCAGGGAGTTAGATGATCTAGCTGTAAGATGCAGCCATCATCGGCCATCGGGAGTTAGATGATCTAGCTGTAAGATGCAGCCATCATCGGCCATCAGGGGAGTTAGATGATCTAGCTGTAAGATGCAGCCATCATCGGCCATCAGGGAGTTAGATGATCTAGCTGTAAGATGCAGCCATCATCGGCCATCTGGGAGTTAGATGATCTAGCTGTAAGATGCAGCCATCATCGGCCATCGGGGAGTTAGATGGAAGAGGTTAACTGTCAATTGATCACAGAGGGTGAATGTGTCAAACTGTCATTTAGCTCTACCCCAGAGGACTTAATTCAGGATTTTATTAATTAATTCAGGATTAGTTTATCCTGCTATTTAAACCTGTTCTGTTCTGTGTGTGTGTGTGTGTGTGTGTGTGTGTGTGTAAGAATGTGCGATCTAAGCTCTTTTAAACCCAATAAGTCACCCTGAATAAAGTAAAGTGTCAGCAAAACAAACGAATAATAATAATACAGTCTCCTGATGGAGAAGTTTAGGAAGGTTTAGAAAGACCATTGTAATTATAAGACTATAACATACTGTATGTGTAGAAAGGATCAACAGTAATGTCATTGTGACACTAATGTGAGAGAGTTTAGTCTGGTTTAACCAGGCTAGCTACAATCACAACAATCTCTAGGATGATCCTCGTAATTCGTTCATTAATCCTCTATTTTCTGCAGCCGGTTCCATCTGAGGTGTCGTCAGATAAAGAGTTGGTTACCCAGGAACCCCATGAAGCTGGACAAAGAGGCGTTGCCTGACCTGGAGGAGACGGACTGCTATACAGCCCCCTTCAGCAGGGCACGCATGCACCAGTAGGTTACACACACACACACACACGCACACACACACACACACACACACACACACACACACACACACACACACACACACACACACACACACACACACACACACACACACACCACACACACACACACACACACACACACACACACACAGCTACACACACAGCTACACTGCTCTAACAGCTTGTGAATAGGGATAGAATAGATAGACTGGGGTTATTTGTATTATATGATGTGTTTGTATAGGCTGCATTGGAGCAGAGATAAAAGACCAGCATAATACAGCCTTCTGCAGCATGAACTGTTTCTGTTATGACAACCCCTCCTCCCCTTCTAACCTTTATAGCAAACTTCCGCTCTATCAGTCCCGTCCTCTCATTAGCTGTAGACTCAGAGACGCGATCAGCGCAGAGAGGCGGTCTCAGCTCTCTCCTTATCATAGATCTCTTCTCTTAGCTCCTTATCTCTACTTCTCTCTCTCTCTTCTCTCTCCCTCTCTCTCTCTTCTCCTCTCTCTCTCTCTCTCTTCTCTCTCTCTCTGCCTCTCTCTCCCGCTGTCTGTCTGTCTCTGTCTCTGTCTCTGTCTCTGTCTCTCTCTCCCTTTCTCTCTCTCTTTCTCGCAGCTCTTTGATGGAAGTCAATAAATCAACTTCCTTTAAATGCTTTGTGTTTTTCTGCCCAGTTTGTTTTCATCTCCTCGTCTCTTTCTGCCATTTTTTGTTTTCATCTCTTCATCTCTGACAGCCTTTGTTCTTGGATTTAAAAAAACATCAAAAGAACATTTACCGACTGTTGGTCCTGGAAAGCTTTGCGATTTAGTGGGAAGTTTATTAGATGGAGAGTTATTGATATGTTTTAAAGAATGTGATTGACTGCTGACTGCCTTTTTCAAAGATCCCTCGTAGTTGCTTTCTTCATCTCTCCTCAGTTTTACAAATATGGATGATCGTCTAGCAGGCTAGAGTAACTGATAACAGATACTTTAGAAAAACTAGATGATTACTTCTTGGATTACTTTTAAATTCAGAATGAATGTTTGCGAGAATTTTTTAAAATAATGACACCTTTCTGTTTTCTCAATGACATTCAATTCAGCATTGAAAAAAGACCCAAGTTTAAGTTTATTCCGCCTGAGTGAGTCTGACCACAAGTCAGAGACCACTATGACGACACACCAAATGTGTTTTGATGGATCCTTTTTGTCTTATTCTAATGCCTGTTAAGGGGAAAGTCATCATAAATCCTCTTCGTTCGTCGTGGAAAAGACGCATCGTTAAAAACATTTGTAAACAACTGCTTGCAGTTCCGAGCCAACCTGGATACTAAGGAGATGCTGAGGAGGTAGCAGGGCTGAGTAGGAGTTTGGAGTTTAGCCAGAGTGAAATTCTCACCCTCCAAGGAGAGAACAGGGCACTCACAGCCAAGGTAAAAACCCTCGATTCCAACATGGATTGTCTACTCAGGGAAAACACGGTGATGAGGGAGTTGCTACTAGACATACAAACCCGTAGCATGTGTGAAAATCTAATATTTTCTGGGATTCCTGAGGAAGCATCCAATAAGCCAGAGGGGCCGATCGGAGAGTTCATGCAATCCGCCTCGAAACTTCCTCTAGAGACCGTAAACAAGGTGGCTCTCCACCGAGTGCACAGACTCGGAGCTCGGAAGCGACAAGACCAAGGGTCGATGACCTATCATCGCAAAAAATTTGAACACTACCAACAAAAGGAGCTGATCAAAAGCAGGGGAAGGGAGCTTAAAGGGACCAAATTCGGTCTCAATGACCAATTTCCCCGGGAGATAAACGAACGTCGCAAGAGGCTGTATCCTGTACAGAGGCCACAGAGGGAGAGGTAAGAGGCTGTGTCCTGTACAGAGGGAGAGGGGTAAGAGGCTGTATCCTGTACAGGGGGAGAGGGGTAAGAGGCTGTATCCTGTACAGAGGGAGAGGGGTAAGAGGCTGTATCCTGTACAGGGGGAGAGGGGTAAGAGGCTGTATCCTGTACAGGGGGAGAGGGGTAAGAGGCTGTATCCTGTACAGGGGGAGAGGGGTAAGAGGCTGTGTCCTGTACAGAGGGAGAGGGGTAAGCGTAAGACAGCTCCATAACACCATGGCTGTGCTAAATTCTACGGGGACGCCAGGTTACGGGGAAAAAAAGTGTGGGAACTGTCAAAATATCTGAACACTATGAAGTTATGAGCACACACACACACACAATTACACGCTCGCTTACACATACGGACGCATACACACATACACACACACACACACACACACACACACAGGCGCACACACACACACACACACAGGCGCACACACACACACACACACACAGGCGCACATACACACACGTGATCTCTCTCTCTTCTCTCACTCTCTCCCCTCTGTCTATTGTCGAGAACTTTTCCATAATTGTTTTTTGTTTGTCTATGTTTTGTATGTCTTTGTCTACATGCTTCAAATCAGGATGATTCATACTTATTTGAAAATATTTATACCAGTTTATTGAACTTACAGGCAACAAACAATCAAATCACTATGGTGGGAGAATATAACACAGTGTTGAGTACCTCAATGGACCGTAAAGGAAATCACTCTACAAACTCATCACAAATACAGTGGGGGAAAAAAGTATTTAGTCAGCCACCAATTGTGCAAGTTCTCCCACTTAAAAAGATGAGAGAGGCCTGTAATTTTCATCATAGGTACACGTCAACTATGACAGACAAATTGAGAGAAAAAATAAAATAAATCAGAATACAGAAAATCACATTGTAGGATTTTTTATGAATTTATTTGCAAATTATGGTGGAAAATAAGTATTTGGTCACCTACAAACAAGCAAGATTTCTGGCTCTCACAGACCTGTAACTTCTTCTTTAAGAGGCTCCTCTGTCCTCTACTCGTTACCTGTATTAATGGCACCTGTTTGAACTTGTTATCAGTATAAAAGACACCTGTCCACAACCTCAAACAGTCACACTCCAAACTCCACTATGGCCAAGACCAAAGAGCTGTCAAAGGACACCAGAAACAAAATTGTAGACCTGCACCAGGCTGGGAAGACTGAATCTGCAATAGGTAAGCAGCTTGGTTTGAAGAAATCAACTGTGGGAGCAATTATTAGGAAATGGAAGACATACAAGACCACTGATAATCTCCCTCGATCTGGGGCTCCACGCAAGATCTCACCCCGTGGGGTCAAAATGATCACAAGAACGGTGAGCAAAAATCCCAGAACCACACGGGGGGACCTAGTGAATGACCTGCAGAGAGCTGGGACCAAAGTAACAAAGCCTACCATCAGTAACACACTACGCCGCCAGGGACTCAAATCCTGCAGTGCCAGACGTGTCCCCCTGCTTAAGCCAGTACATGTCCAGGCCCGTCTGAAGTTTGCTAGAGTGCATTTGGATGATCCAGAAGAGGATTGGGAGAATGTCATATGGTCAGATGAAACCAAAATAGAACTTTTTTGGTAAAAACTCAACTCGTCGTGTTTGGAGGACAAAGAATGCTGAGTTGCATCCAAAGAACACCATACCTACTGTGAAGCATGGGGGTGGAAACATCATACTTTGGGGCTGTTTTTCTGCAAAGGGACCAGGACGACTGATCCGTGTAAAGGAAAGAATGAATGGGGCCATGTATCGGGAGATTTTGAGTGAAAACCTCCTTCCATCAGCAAGGGCATTGAAGATGAAACGTGGCTGGGTCTTTCAGCATGACAATGATCCCAAACACACCGCCCGGGCAACGAAGGAGTGGCTTCGTAAGAAGCATTTCAAGGTCCTGGAGTGGCCTAGCCAGTCTCCAGATCTCAACCCCATAGAACATCTTTGGAGGGAGTTGAAAGTCCGTGTTGCCCAGCGACAGCCCCAAAACATCACTGCTCTAGAGGAGATCTGCATGGAGGAATGGGCCAAAATACCAGCAACAGTGTGTGAAAACCTTGTGAAGACTTACAGAAAACGTTTGACCTGTGTCATTGCCAACAAAGGGTATATAACAAAGTATTGAGAAACTTTTGTTATTGACCAAATACTTATTTTCCACCATCATTTGCAAATAAATTCATTAAAAATCCTACAATGTGATTTTCTGGATTTTATTTTCTCATTTTGTCTGTCATAGTTGACGTGTACCTATGATGAAAATTACAGGCCTCTCATCATTTTAAGTGGGAGAACTTGCACAATTGGTGGCTGACTAAATACTTTTTACCCCCACTGTATTATGGACACATTAGAAATAGTGGATATTTGGAGACCTAGTAAGAAAACATGGAGGAGACTTAATCAAGCTAGTCGTCTTGACTACTTTCTTGTCTCTTTCTCTCTTGCATCAAAGGTTAAAAAAGTATTAATAGGAGACTGAATGCGACCGGATCATCATCTAATTGTCCTTCACATAACTCTTATAGAATTTCCACGTGGACGGGGATATTGGAAATTTTATCAAAGTCTACTGGAGGACTTAAAAATAAAAAACTAAGACAATATCATTTATAACTGAAGTCTTCATCCCCCTTGGCGTTTTTCCTATATAGTTGCATTACAACCTGTAATTTAAATGGATTTTTATTTGGATTTCATTTAATGGACATACACAAAATAGTCCAAATTGGTGAAGTGATATGAAAGAAATTACTTATTTCAAAGAATTCTAAAAAATAAATAACGGAAAAGTGGTGCGTGCATATGTATATAGCGGATTTTGAAAAGGCCTTTGATAAAGTAAGACTGGATTTTATAAATGCTTGGATTTTTTCAATTTTTGTGATTTTCTTATAAAATGGGTAAAAGTAATGTATTGCAACCCCAGGTGTAAAATAGTAAATAGCGGCTTCTTCTCAGAGAGTTTTGAATTGTCAAGAGGAGTTAAACAAGGGTGTCCACTGTCACCATATCTATTCGTTATGGCCATCGAAATGCTCGCTATTAAAATCAGATCAAATAACAACATTACAGGATTAGAAATCCAAGGCTTAAAAACAAAGGCGTCCATGT